ATGAAGTCACAGGCGATTTTCAGCCAAACCTAAGACTCTTTTAATAAAGCTAAACAACAAGGAGAAAAAGAACCAGGGCTCTGATAAGCTATAAAGGAGAAGAAAAAGTACTGGTACACAAAAGAAAATAATGAAGTAAAAACAAAACATTTCTAAAGCATCAATGAAATAAAAAAATACAAACACACAAAAATCATAAACAAAAACAAAAGAGAAGGGACGACTCTGTTTATCTAGGATCCAACGGCAGGTGAGTATTCCTAAGTAACAGTTTTTGCATTTCAAAAGTTTAGTAGGAGATTTGGCCGCAGGAGTGGGCTTAAAATTTGATTAATTAATCTCTTCATTTTGAATAAGGACAACAGAAGAAGAACTGATGTCTTTAAACTGTGGAGTTGGAAAAGAGTATTGAATATACCATGAATTTAAAAAAGAACAAAGACCTTGGAGAAGATACAGACACAGTACTCCTTGAAGGCAAAGATGATAAAGGTTTGTCTCATACATACTTTGGGCATGTTGTTAGGAGAGATCAGAGATGGTGAAGTTGGCACAGGATAGATCAGTTCTGTTGGTCATAGGGTCATTATGAGTCATATTCAATTCAATATCACCTAACAATAACAATCACCACCACCACCACACAACTTATGTAGGTAAAGCCATTACCAAGAATTTATTAATCAGTATAATGGCTTCATTGAGCTTTGTAATAAAATGCCACAATATTAGCGATCTATAATAAGAAATTTTAGTATCTCTCAGTTCCAGAGGATGGAAGACCAAGACTAGGATGTGGTCACCATGTTGAATCCTTCTGAAGCTCTAAACCTGATATTTTCCAAGTGCCTCTCTCAACTTACAGTAGCTCCAAGTGTTTCTGACTTACAACTGTACAACCACATAGTATCTTTCCTTTGTTCCCATCTCTATGTTTCTTCTTATTTTTTATTTTTAATTCTTTCTCCATGCCTTTTGTAAAATATTTTTATTGCTTTTCCAATGTCCAGGCAAAAAAAGCCCTGGACCAGATGGTTTTACAAGTGAATTTTATCAAACATTCTGAAGAACTGTCACCAAGTTTACATAAACTATTTCAGAAAATAGAAAAAGATGGAATTCTCCCAAACTCATTATACGAAGCAAACATATCCTTGAGACCAAAGCCAGGAAAGGACAACACCAAAACAGAAAATTCTGGGCCAGTATCTCTTATGAACTTAGATGCAAAAACCCTGAATAAAACACTGGCCAACAGAATCCAATGATACATTAAAGAAATAATTCCCCATGACCAAGTGGGATTCATAAAGGTATGTAAAGATGGTTCAACATAAGAAAAACAATCAATGTAATTCACTGCATTAACAAAGCAAAGAACAAGAACATGATCATATCAATTGATGAAGAAAAAGCCTTTGAAAAAATCCAACACCCTTTTCTGATTAAAACATTCAACAAGAAAGGATTAGAGAGGAATTTCTTCAACACAGTAAAAAGTATATATGCAAACCCGAGAACCAACATTGTTCTCAACGGAGAGAAGGTTAAAGGCATTCAGAAAGAGGCCCCAAGTAAGCAAAGCACTCCTTAAAAAGAGAAACAAGGCAGGAGGCATTTTATTCCCTGATTTCAAAACCTACTACACTTTTGTGGTGGTCAAGACAGTGTGATACTGGTACAATGACAGACACATAGATCAATGGAATGGAATCTAGCAATCAGCCCATCTATCTATGGTCAACTGATTTTTGACAAGGAGATGAAATGAGTTAAGTGGAGAAAAGACAGCCTTTTTAACAAATGGTGCTGGCAAATTTGAAAACTATCCGCAAAAACTCAAGCAAGATCCACATATCATTCCATACACAAAAAACAACTCAAAGAGGATCATGGACCTAGGACTAAAACCAAGGGCTATAAGCTTCATTAAAGAAACACTTGGAAGAACTCTAGAAGTCCTAATCCATAACATAAATAGTCTTCCAAGCATTCTGAAAAATCTACAACCAGGAGAGAATAAAATATGGGACCTTCTAAGAATCAAATTCCTATGCACATCCAAAAACTTCTCCAACAGGGTAAAAAGCAAAGCCACAGATTGTGAAAAGATATTCGGTAATGACATGTCAGGTAAGGGACTTATATCTACAATTTATAAAAATACTCGAGCACCACAACAAGATAAAGGTAAACAACCCAGTAGAAAAACAGGCATCGGATATGAAAGACACCTCACCAAAGATGACATTCGGATGGCACACAAACACATGAGAAATGTTCAAAATCCCTAGCTCTAAGAGAGTTGCAAATCAAAACAACTATGAGATACTATCTCACTCCAGTAAGAATAGCAAAATTTAACAGAACAGCAAGCAACAAATGCTGGTGAGGTTGTAGAGAAACTGGAACCCTGATTCACTGTTGGTGGGAGTATGAAATGGTACAACCACTATGGAAGGCTGTATGGCACTTTCTCAAAAAGTTGCAAATTAGATACCATTTGACCCATCAATCCACTACTGAGGATATACCCTAAAGAAACCATAACCGCCACTCAAGCAGATACATGCACATCCATGTTTATTACTGCTTAGTTCACAACAGCAAAGGAATGGATAGAGAAGCTATAGTATATTCACACAATGGTATACTATGCTGCTTTGAAAAACAAAGAACTCATGAAATATTATACAAAATGGGTGCCCCTGGAGGACATTATGCTGAGTGAAAAATCTCAGTCACAAGATATATTGCACAGTGCCACTGCTGTAAAACAGCCTGACACCAGGGTTGGAGAGAGACTGAGAAAGATGGGATACATTATGCATACTTGATAGAAACAGATGAGGGAGAGAACTATTTAAAAGAGCTATAGGATTAGGTATTATTGTCATCACCGGAGTCCAGAAAAAAAGGCTGCAGAGTAGAGTGGACTTGGGGGGAGGGATTGTATAACAATGAAAGAATTTATCTTTCACTTTTCAAAGAGAAGAGTGAATTGAGGCGGGAGGGCAGGAAGAAAAGTGTAACAATGAGTGAATGTTAATGCAAACTCTCTGTAAACTCTCATTAAAATTAGTAATATTGAAAACTTTTAACAGAGTCAATTGTTGGGCCAATTGGCAGCACTATAAACCTAGAGAAGAGTTTGAAATTGTTAACAATTTCAACTTTTTTGGCTCCACAATCAACACTCTTGGCAACAGCAGTCAGGGAATCAAAAGATCAATTGCATTCGGGAAGTCTGCTTT